CAGGCAGCAGAACCACTGGAGCTAAATCTCCAGCCCTAGGACCTGGAGACTTTGATTGCCAAACATTTTGGGAACTCACTCTATGTGCTAGACATTGAAGTAAGTATGAAAAACAGAAAAATGAAAATGCAGTCCTAGCTCTTTGAGATCACACAAGCCAGTGGTGAGATAGGAGAATGACTTTTTGTCCTGTGTATAAAGTCTGTTTGGAGCTACGTGACAGAGAGTCGTGAAGACCTATCCATGCACATTTACCAAAGATGAGCAGACCTCACGCTGACTGCCTCAGGAGCCTGGAGTGAACTATGCATATTCAGAACGGCTTCCGCTTCAGTATGCAACACAAAATCAGCTGCAGTGATGATTCTCATAAAGCAAATACCTAAACAATTTCACCCATGAATGAAAAGCAAGTATAAATCAGTAGTAAGCATAACAACAGCTAGGCTTGGTTGCCACGGCTGTAATCCCATCACTACTGGAGGCTGAGCGGAGGATCTTAAATTCAAACCCAGCCTGGGCAATTCGGTGACTTAGCAAGACCCTGTCTCAAACGGCGGGGGGAGCTTAGCACGAAGGGCCTGGGTTCCATCCACAGCACACTCCCCTGCCAAAAAAAGCCAGGCAATTCATTGCAGAATTCATTGACAATGTACAGACCAAAAAATACACCTTCCATATTGGGGTACAATTTGAGGATCTTCACACCTCGTTTGAAATAACGCGACTCCCACCTCTTGTATAACAACCTCCCGATTTTTATATTACCGGTAAAGACTTCTCTTTACCACTCTTTAATTCTTACTGTACATTACTGTTATGGATTCAGTGTGTGTGTCCCCTAAAATGCATATGTTACGTTGCAATCCTACCCTGCAACGTGATGGTGTTAGGACGTGAGGCCATTGGCAAGATTTTAGGTCAGAGGGATGGAGCCCTCACCAGTGTGATTGGTGCCCTCTAGGGAGGAGACCCAGAGCTTGCTTCTCTATGCTTTCTACCACAAAAGGACACAAGAGGTCAGCCGACTACAAACCGGGAAGGGAGTTGTTGGATCTCGCTCCAACTTCCCAGTCTCTAGAACTGCAAAAACAAAATTTCTGTCACTTAAGCCAACCAGTCTGTGGTAATTTGTCATAGCAGCCCACACGAAGACAACCATGATTCCATGCTGACGAATTCAGGATATGGTGTAATAATCTGTCACATCAAGTATCCTGATTTGGCTTATGTTTGGGTAGATATGCTTAGTTTTACAATGCATCAAAATCTACAAAATTAGTGCTCCCTAGTGAAGTCTTAAGTTTTTAAAGTTCCTTACTACTACTTTAATATGATATGTGGCTATTACCATGTATAAAAAAAGTAAACACTCAAATAGCCAAAGTAAATTTTTTTTTTTGCCAAAATTAGATTTTATTCAGATTTCCTTCTTTGCAGTGGAAATCATCTTCTCATTTGCAAAATTTGCATACTCTAAAAATACGTATAAATGGAAGAGTGCTGTTGGGGTAAGGAAAGAATAATCACTACATAAGATGTGTTTCACATGTTGGAAAAACAACAAAATTGCAATTGCTTCAAAGCCCACTGCATTGTAAACTGTCCCCCAAATGTCTTAGAGAAATGTGTTTGTGCTGGGAATGGAGGTGTATGCCTGGAATCCCCGCTACTCAGGAGGGTGAGGCAAGAAAAACACAAGTTTGAGCCCAGCCTCGTCAACTTAGTGAGACCCTGTTTCAAACTTAAAAGTTAAAAGAGGGCTGGGGGTGTAGCTGAGTGATACTGTACTTGCCTATCAGATGTGAGGCTCTGGGGGCCGGGGATTTAGCTCAGTGGTTCCGCCACCTGCCTCACAAGCGCAAGGACCCGAGTTCGATCCCCGGTACCGAAAATAAATAAATCTAAATAAATATGTGAGTCTCTGGGTTCGATCCCCAGGATTGGGATGGTGGGGGAAGAAGAGGGCGAGGAAGAGAGAGAGGGGAAGAAAGGTGTTTGGGGAACAGTGAAACCCAACCTGGTTTCCAAGGTTTGCTTTTTAATAACCCTAATTATCAAAGCAGTTCAGTGAACTTTCTTTTTTTTTTTGGTGCTGAGGATCAAACTCAGGCCCTTGAGCCTTCGAAGCAGGCAGCGCAACCACTGAGCCAAACCCTCACACCCTCGAGTGAAGTTTTATCGAAAGAAAGATGGGTCAGAGCAAATTCAGTGAGAACGAAAGCTAGAATTAATTAGCGTGATGAACAAGCTCTTCCTGAAGGACAGTTTGCTGTGTAGAATTAAGAGGTGATTACAGAAAATTGAAGTTCTAGAAAAGCTCCACAGCAGCAAAGCAGAAAAGGCAAAGATGCCCATTTTTGGAGTTTAATCCCTGGCTTTAATCACAGCACTGCCACCAACTGGTCTTGAGACTTCCGGCCACTCCATTGAGTCTATGTGGAAAGGATCCACTTTGCCGAGAGCACCTCCAAGTCTATTTTACTCCTTCTTGCTACTAGCATATCTACACCCAGCACCAGTCTAAATGGAGCAGTAATTTACTTACTGAACACTTGCTATGGTTCAAGATGGCGTCAGTCATGCTGAATCTTAATCCTCACTGGCAGTGTTAAGACGTGGGGGCCCTGAGGAGGTGACTGGGCCGTGAGGACGGCACCCTGGGGAATAGAGAATCGACAGGGCCTTCTAAGAAGGGAGTGTGGCAGGGAGGCCACACCCTGCCACGTGAGGACGCAGCCGGTGCCCTTCCACACTGGGGGATGCAGCCAGAAAGCCACACCAGAGAAATTCTGCTGCTTATAAATTATTCACTTCCAGGTGTCTTATTGTAACAGCACAGGGGACCGCAGCAGCATTCATAGGGTTTGCCTCCCATACTGGGCCTGACAATGCAAAGAGGCGTGAGACTGGGCTCTTCTGTTTGGAAAAATTCACAACGTATCGGAGTAAATGGACTTATAAAGAAATGATGTGCACTTTCTACAACAAATGCCATGGTAACACCAAAAAAAATAATTCAGCCTTACTTTGCATTGTACACAAAAATCAACTCCAAGTGGATCTCAGATTTAAATGTAAAAAGCAAAAGTTTTGAAAAGTCGTTGTGACCTTATATTAATAAGCAAAGCATTCTTAAGACACAACAACAAAAGCATAAGCCATAAAAGAAAAGAATCAATAAGTTGGACTTCTTTAGAATTAAAACTCAGGCTGGGAGTGCAGCTTAGTGGTGGGGTTTTTGTGTACCATATGCAAGGCCCTAGGTTCCATCCCTAGCACCTCTAAGCATTAAGAACTTTTGCCCCTGAAAAGACATTAGGTAAATGAAAATATCGGCCATAGAATGGGAGAGAGTACTTATAAATCGTGTATCTAATAAAGGACTTGTATCTAAACTATACAACAAACTTGTAGCGGTCCTGAATAATAAGACGAATGACCCAACTGAACACCTGATTTTCAAATGGATCCTAACACACGCTCTGATGTGGATGAACTCTGAAAACACTGTGCTACCCAAGCCAGCACAGAAGGACAAACACCGTATGATACACTGCTGTGAAGTCAGTATAACGTGGAAATTCACAGAGACAGAAGAGGAGAACTGAGGTGACAAAGCTTAGGGGAGACTAAAGCAGGGAAGTGTTTCATGCTGTTTGGGCTGATGAAAACGTTTAGACATGGACAGTGGTGACGGGGGGCCCTGTGAGTGGACGTAAGGGATTATACACTTAAAAGATGGTTAAAACGGCAACTTCCCAAACACACACAATGAAAAAATGAGCAGAAAACCTGAATCGACATTTCACCCAACATTTACAGATGACCAGCGAAAAGGCGCGCACACCACTCATCCCCAGAATGGTGTGACCACCTTGGAACACTGCTTTGGAAAATTAAACACGGGCTCCCTGTGAGATCTGCCACTCCGCTCCTGGCAAGCTGTCCCGGAGGAATGAAAACCTTCTCCACATCAAAGACTTTTACACTGATACTCACAGCGACTTTAGTGCCAATAGCTACAAGCTGGAAAGAACCCAACTGTCCATCAGTTAATAAATAAATAAACAGAAAGTGGTCTGGTCACATGACAGATCACATGACAGAATGCGACTCAGACATAACAAAGGAACCTAGACATTCGAGGACACAGGTGAACCCCAGCGACTGAAGCCAGAAGCAAAGGACTTCAGTATGGATGATTACATGAAATGCCCAGAAAAGGCAAATTTAAAAAGAAAATACGCGGGTGGTTGCTGGGGATGGCGTGGACATAGGGCTTGTGTGAGTTTTAGGGGGTGACAGCAAAGTCCTAAAATGGAATTGTGTTGATGGTTGCACAATTCTATGAATCTATGGAAAAATCACCAAATGGTACACTTACAATGGGTGAATTATTGTGTTATTAAATTATCTCTCAATAAAGCTGGTTTGGGGCTGGGGATTTAGCTCAGTGGTTCCACCGCCTGCTCACAAGTGCAAAGTTCCAAGTTCGATCTCCAGCACCAAAAATAAATAAATCAATAAAACTTCGCCCAAATAGACAATATTGGACTTTTACTGAGCTCCCATCAGAGCAAAACTGCAATAAAAAGAAATGTGAAAAGCAACTCAAGTACTTAATAATACCTGAATAATAAACTATTTAATAAATGATCACTACGGCCTAGAAACATCTAATCTGAAGCGGCAAAGGCTAACCCAGTAATTGATTTAATACCTGTCTTCAAAGATATGAAGGGTATTCCAAGAAAACTTTTCGACTAGTTCTCTCTCTCCCTGCAGAGCCACACAAAACATGGTGATTTAATAATGAGCGAGGCAAATTTAGAATAAACATAAACGACACTGACAGGAACTGCTATCAAATCCTGGAATAAATTTAGGCTCCCGGTGCAAGCTGTTTCCTTGGCAATCACGAAGAAGAGCAAGACAGACGGCTCAAGTTGAAACGCACCGGTCTGTGAGGAGACGGAAGCGCCCCGCCCACCCCTTACCTCTATGTCCCGGTTCAGCTGCTTCACGATGGCCGTGATGTTTCGGATGTGCTCCTCCAGGAACAGCCTCGCCAAGCGGTCGCCTCCCCCTTTGTTTTGCATTTTCTGCAGACTGTTGACGATGTCGTCCTTGATCCGGAAGGCGTGCTCCACCAGGGCAGCGGTGGTCTTCTCATGGCACAGGATCCTGTCTTCCAGCTGCTCCACGAGGCTCACAGAGGAGTAGGGGGCCATGCTCAGAGACTGGCTGTGTCGAGGCATGGTTCGCACTCGCCTGTGGAAGGGACCGCGTTACCCAGGGTGCTCGTTGGGAAAAGAACTGTTCCACCCTGATTCAAGACCTCCCAGAGGAGGACGCACGATGTCTATCCCTGCGAGCTACATGGGGTCTGAGGCAGGGCTTCTGCCCCAAAGCGACCTCTTCACAAGCCACGTAGATCTACTGCTGTTTGTGCCCACAGACCAGTGGCTGCAGCGGCCCCATGACCTCTAAGAGCAGGAGGCTGGCAGAATCGGGCGCGTGGAGGTGGCCAGAGCGTGAGCAGAGATGTTAGGATCAAGCTGACAGTCTGACAGCCTCTCCTCCTGCTCCCCCTGCTCCCCCTGAAGCAATGGTGACAAATCAGACAACCACAGGATCAGGAAGGTGACACAGTGACGAAGCCCACAGTGCATGAAGCCACAGGGAACCGTGGCGACTTTGGAGAAGCGGCAAGGTCTTTCCCAGCTAAAGGGGCCATGATTCTGAGGCCCCCGTGAGTGACCATCTGCAGACACAGGTCTGGTTTTCCAGATCATCTGGTATTTCAAAATCAGCTAGGAATTCAGTCTTGTGTGTGAAACTGCCTCGGTCTGAAAAGCCAACAGCCCATTGAGGGTCATGCTGGCCATGCAACGTACTTTTGTGAGCCAATTTTGTCCTGCGGGCATCCAATTTACAACTCCAGATTTAAAAGGGTTAACGGGGACGTCAGCCTCAGGCACCCCGAGTTCCAAACTACTTTGACCAGAAGTTCAAGTCTACTGTAGAGCTAGCTACCAGGAGCTCCCCACTTCTGGGAGAACACAGTGGTCCCACAGAATCGCACAAATCAGAAGCCAAGAGAGGGGATGGAGTAGTATTTCTCTTGCCCTTGAGCAAAACTATTCATGGATCAGGTAATAGCCACAGGCTTCATCTACAATAACCATCACACCCACAAGCCACCCTCATGAGGTTGGTGGAAAGAAAAAGTATACCTTAGATGCATATTTTCCATATATTATATCTTTCTTCGGTGACAAGAGAAGGAAATACAGGGCTCCGTTGGGCCATTTTCTTTTTAATAATTCACATCTGTTGAAAAATAAGCACTAAATTATTTAATAGTTTATATCCAGAAGTTAAATGGCCTCAAACGTTTATTATTGTTACTAAGTAGCTCATCCGTTGTGCTGACACACTGTTCCGTTATGTTGTTAAGTGTGTTACGTCTTGCTTATGAAATAAACAGTACATGGTTTAAAATAAGGATAAAAGAAGTTAGCAAAGTCAGAATGCTTCTGAAATTAATACTGCTAAGCCCTGCTGGACAGATGTGTAAGGACTCGCAAAAGAAGTTTCCAGGACTTTCCTTATTCTCCACTTGGCGTCCCAAGCTTGAAAAATCACTTTTCCAGAAACAAAGCAGCTTCTTTAATGGATTTATTCAATTCTCCTCTGTAGAAATCTACAGAAACTGTCTTAGTAAATTTGGTCTCAGTCAGCTCCATGGCCATTGAGAGCACTTTGTTTCTAAGTCAATCTGAAACACTGGTAAAGCAGCGTATGATTAATGGGATCGGATTTAGGGGAACCTATGCACTAAGACAGTGATATTCTTCATTAAAACTTTAAAGCTTTGGGCCAGGGATGTAGCTCAGTGGCAATATGCCTGCCTGGCAAGTGCAAGGTCCTGAGTTCGAACCCCGGTATCAAGGGAAAAAAAAGTTTAAAGCTTTATTTTAAGATGCAGTAATTTATATTGCATGTTACATAAGAGGAACATCTGATCATCTCAGCTCATTAGAAAACTGCAGTTTTTCAAGGGTTTCATCCCTGAAGTCTCTCAATACTGCTGTTAACTAACTGGCTTACAACAATGAGTGCCCATAACCGTGCTCTGACTCAGTAATTAGTGCTCGTCTAGAAACTGGATTCAGAAAGTGTTTCTGATTGACACCATTGTTTTGGCAATCATCTCTCTGGTGTTTTATTTTTAGAGTTTTAAAATGTGAACATTTCATTTTTCTAGACAAAGAACTTCACAATTTAAACAAATTACATTTGAAACAAAAAAGATTATTCATGCTAAACAAGCTCTGTGCCCAAGGAGTTCTTGAGTATCAAGGATAAGAATTTCTGTCATTAAGCTACATAAAATTAAGCCAGCATGAAAAATGCTATTATTTAGGATCATAGAATACCTTTAGAGCGTAAGACACCTTCACTTCCTCTTCTACAGGTGACCCCAGCTTAAAAAACATTGATTTGGCAACAATTAGTAAGTAAGACAAAACTCCAACACGGTCAAAAAGACAACTAAAGCAATGGCAGGGTGACTGGTGAGCTGCATGATGTAGAGCCGACCCAGCCTGCATTCTGCTACAGCCACCCCTCCTTCCCTGTGCCCCAAGGAAATGCCTCTCCCTTCCGTGCCTGCCCAAAACACTGTTATTCATCCTTTGAGGCCCAGCAGCCTTTCCGTTTGCTAAAGCGACTCCCTCCGCCCGAGTCCAGCAGCTCCCTATCAGTGTGTTTTATGTGACTTTTTATGGCTACTGCCGTTATCACATAACAATCTGTGTGCCTGTTAAACTCGATGCTCTTCAGGGTGCAAACTCCAAATCTCCACAGGCACAGAGCCGACCTAGTGCAGCCCACACGTTTGTTGATGGTGAACATCAGCAATCGCAGCAGTGATGGCTCAAGAGAAGACAACTTAGGTAAAAAACAGAGCTCTTCACTGAGACTGGTGCTAGATGCCCAGTAAGGATCTGTAAATGAATGGAGTCTTTTGCTATTCCCTTTTCTGAAGTTTGTTTGTTCATCTGGAATTATCCTGCCTCAGCTACGGAAGCCCAAGCAGACCAACAACCTTCTGAAATAGGAGTGTACCGTGGCTGGATAAAGTTTCCCAAAAGCAAATCTCGCTGTTATCCAGCGCTATGACTATGACTTTCTCTGACGGGAAACCATACAGCACAAGTCTACAACACGCACTGCTGTCTGCTCAGAATCACTGAATATGGTGAGGATCTGCTCATTGGTTAGGTCTCTCTGCTCATGAGCATCATGATTCTTTGCAGGGATGATGGACTTTATGAGGCTTAACAATAAAGACAATTGGACCAAATGCCTTCTCAAGCATGGTTTCCAGATCTTCCCGATGTCAGTCCTTACTTATCTGCCCGGGGTTGTCACCCTCCGTACATGCCTAAGGTCATCTCTGCAAATGTATCTACAAGCTCAGCAGGCAGATCTGGCTTGTGTGCTGCTCTGATTGTGTCATGATTCACTTTCCACTAAACAGTCTCCACTCTATGCTTTTTAAAAATTAGGGGAAGGCCGGGGATTTAGCTTAGTGGTGCCGCTGCCTGCCTCACAAGCACATGGTCCCAAGTTCGATCCCTGGTACCAAACAAAACAAAACAAAACAAAAAAATCGGGAGAAAGTGGGAGAAGAGACAGATAGATAAAACCAAAAAAGAAGACTGAAAAGACCTAAGAGAAAGAAAAATCACCAAGGGGCCAGGGATTTAGCTCAGTGGTTCTGCCACCTGCTTCCCAAGCACAAGGACCCGAGTTCAATCTCCAGTACAAAAAAAAAAAAAAAAAAAAAAAAAAAAAAAAAAAAGACAAAAAAAAAAAAAAAACCCCCAGGGGCCCGGGGATTTAGCTCAGTGGTTCTGCCACCTGCTTCCCAAGCACAAGGACCCGAGTTCAATCTCCAATCTCAAATAAATAAATTTAAAAAAAAAAAGAGTAAACCATACCAGGTATGCTGCACACACCTGTAATCCCAGCTCTCTGGGAGGCTGAGGAAGGAGGATCCCAAGTTCTAGCCGAGCCTGGGCAAACTTGGGACTACAGGGAGGCCCTGTCTCAAAATAAAAAATTTAAAAAGGGGCTAGGGATGTAGTAAAGTATAAAGGCCCTGTCTTCAATTTCTAGTAGTACAAAAAAAAGGAGAGAAAAAGAAAATTCATAATGCCCAAAATATGTATGGCCTGTATCCATAGAATTTGGGAGCTCACACAAAAGCAAAGGGCAATGCTATTTATTTATATTTGTACCAGGGATCAAACTCAGAGACCATGTGCTTGCCAGGCAGGTGGCAAAACCACTGAGCTAAATCCCCGGCCCATAAGGCAATGCTATTTAAATCAAGGAACTAGGGATGTAGTTTGGTGGTAGAGTGCTTGTCTAGCATGCATGAGTTCCTAGGTTTCATCTCCAGAACTACAAATTTTTACAAAAATTATTTGTGATAATGAGGATTCTACAAAGAAGCAGAAGAAGGTGGATATATATGACTATTTTAATGAGAAAAGGAGACATTTGTGGCAACTACTATATATAAATATATATGTGTGTGTGTGTGTATTTTTTTTTTTTTTTTTGAGACAGGGTCCTACCGTGGAGTCCAGACGGACCTTGAAGTAATGGCAATCCTCCTGCCTCAGCCTTCCGAGTGCTGGGATCATAGGTACTTGCCACCACACCCAACTACTATATTTTTATAAGTAATGTGACACTGGGTAGAAATACGACAGCATCATTCTAATGTAAAATTATACATGAATTTAACCAATGAAAAAGACACTTTTTACTGGAAAACAGAACATCAATCATACAAAAATGTAGATTTTCACTTCACTATTAAAATATAGTGCTGATGTGTATGCTGAGTGTCAGATATAAAAAAAAAACCCACAGGCAAAGCATTTATGAATAAAGTGGTTGTAATTTGGCAGTGGGGGGAGCCTATTTTCTCACAGTTAAAAATAGCGTAAAAGGAGAGAGGGCGGAGAGCAGCGGAAGGTGTGCGGAGAGACGGGTGGGAGGTGTTCCCAGACTGCGGGGCCTTGGGCTCTCCGGGAGCCGCGGGGGCTGATGGGAAGGAAGCTGTGAGCTCAGGGAGGTGAGGGAGGGAGGTGAGGGAGGGAGGCGGCCCCCAGGCAGCTGGAGGGCGAGGCCCAGACCAGGCGCCCAGGCTGCCTTTCTCCCTTCTTGTCTCCTCATAGAGTTTGCTCCTCTCCACACTCTTTCTCTTGCGTGATCACAAGTTCGAGACCAGACTGAACTACACAGAGAGACCATCTCAAACAAACAAACAAACAAACAAAAAGTTAAAAAAGAATGATTTGTAACACATAATTTGAGGAAATGTTTTCATCTTTTTTTTTTTTTTTTTTAGGTACCGGGGATTGAACTCGGGTCCTTGCGCTTGCGAGGCAGGCCACCGAAGCTCTGAGCCAAATCCCCGGCCCATTGTTTTTATCTTTTGACTAAAATCAGTGTGAAGAAATTTGGGACATTTTAAGAAACACCTTGTCTTAAACTGAAAACAATGCTTTTTGTGATTAATAAAGCAAAACAGTATTAAAATTCAGGCTCTACAGAGAGGCATAAAAAAGTGAAAGCTGACATTCAGAAAGTTCTGAATATCAACTTATGTGTTTCAAAATCTCTAAGACATACATACTTTTTCTCTTAAAAAAGGTAAAATTGTGGGCCTAGGGATTTAGCTCAGTGGGGCCTCACAAATACAAGGTCCTGAGTTTGATCCCTGGTACCAAAAAAAAAAAAAAAAGTGAAACTGTACTTTCTACAGTATATGTGCCCTGCATTTCCTCACACTATAACACGAACATTTTTCCCTGTCCTTATAGAAAGACATGTGCCCTTTTTTTTTTTCCGGTACTGGGGCTCGAACTCAGGACCTTGCTTGCACTTGGCAAGGCAGGCATGATACCGCTGACCTAAATATCAGGCCCTGACATCATTTTTAATGCCTGAATGATATTTCACTGAATGGATGGTGATGCAGATGTGTGGAAAGTAAGTAATACAGATTACAAGCTACATTCAAAATTCAGATTAAAATGAGACTCCAATAATGGAACGTGAAAAGTTGAGAAGGGATGAAAAGCAGTCGGCCTGTAAACATGACAGGAGTGACTGCTGCCACTCGCTCCTAGAATCTGGCAAACACCACACTGCCTCACCAGCTGGGGACCGTTCTGTATGCTAAATG